AGTGATACTGAGTAGAGTGGGTAATAAAATATTAAAAGCCAGTTAGGCCAGTAAAGGAAATGATAATACAGCGGGCAGTGGAATCACTGAAAAGCAGCATGTGCTGGGAGGGGTCGCATGAATAGTCGATACGGTGGGATTTTCCTGATGTCGGGCTGGAGCCTGTTCCACAGAGATTCACCTTGGAATGAGGCAGAATATGTGCCAGCGGATGTCTTAGTGACTGGAAATTTAAGTGCCCGATTTCCATGACTACGTGTAGGACGGCAGGCATTGAGGGGACTGAACATATCGGTAGGCAATGTGCTGCATTTACCCGGAAGGCAGCGCTAAGTGTAGCCAAGGAGCTTTTGGCAGTACATAACTTCTAGCGAGCACAAGCGCAATTGGCAATACAGCGGCGCAGATGGGGATGCAAATGGAGCGTTGTAAGCACAGCGGACTGCGCGCTTGAGTAGACGCTCTAGGCGCACGAGCTGATGTGAGGAGGGCCAGCAGAGAAACAGTTGCTAGCATAAAGAAAGTCAGGGAGAATCAGGAACTTCAGGTACGTGATGCGAGTATCGATGCTGTAAAGTGCGCGAACGAGAACGCTGCTTTAATTTGGAGAGAAGGTCTGCTGATGGTATGCTCAGTGAAGTCAATTCAGGAACTTTACAATCTTTTGAAAATAAAGATTGGATATTAAGCGGCCATTGTATTAAAAACAAGTCTATTTGCGCTCCGAGCCCTGCCTGATCGAGGTATATTGTCCGTCGCTACGTAATCCGGGTGTTTGTAAATTGAGAAGAGAACAACAACCGTAACTCAACCGGTTCTTATTCGATTTCCACAATCAAAGTGCTTCAAAGTATGTTTATCAGCGTTTGATTGCAACAATTGTGGAAGCGATAGGACCTTTGAGTTATTGCGCTTGATCACTACACAGCTTCACACGGCCAGAAAAACTATTTTGCGCCGTGCATGGACCCTCGGTTTTCATTTTTTCTGCATTTTTGCCACTTGGTGCCATGGCAACTGCAATTCTGAACGAGCCATGGACTAGCGGGAGTGTGCACAATAAAATAGACATGCGGGCAAGGAGAGTGGAATGGCTGGTAAGCGTCAGTTTCTTTGACTTTCGAGACTGCGCCATGACTTTGCGACAGATATGCTCTATGGCTCGCGTACGACCTTGTGGAGACTTGTGCTTTTGTTTATTGTTTTTCCCGTGGCTCCCGGTTGTTGCGGAAGGTGAAGATCTAGTAAATCAGATAATGTGTGAGTAACGAATGTTTTAGAGGGCATTTTTTCATTAGAAAAATACCCGTTTTAGCTTCTCGACAGGTGGCAATACTTTGCTGTGGTGGCAGGGTGAAATTAAACACATCGGCATACGCAATTTATTCAAAAGGTGGGTCTGGCTAGGCCTGACTCACTGAGATAAGTTAGTTCTGGTGTTGTGACAGCCGATGGTAAGAACGTATGTAAGCGGGCAGATCTCTAACATCCAATTCTGTTGGTACAAAGCCAAGCAGGTGACAAGAAGCTGTCAAGCAGGAAGCTGACCAGAGATGTGCCACTGCTGTACTAGCAGGTGCCAAATCAAGCTGTTAACAGTGTGCGGATTACACTTTCTCGTTTCACAGACATCAGCCTCTTCTACGGGCCAAACCAAAAATAATTATTATGATTATGTACGTAGCAGGTACAGCACTGCGCAGTAACTATAAAACACGAATAAAACAAGTGAAATTCAGTCCAAGCAACTTTCAAAATTGAACCCGGATGGTCAGCCAATATAATTGTGATGAAGGAGGGAAAAGGACAAAATGTTGGGAGTTGTGCCAAACTGTCCACCGACATAACCAGATCTTATACCGTCAGCGAGTGCGACAAAATGGCACAAAACTGACATTGAGAACTGAGACATTCTGCGACCTGACACCTAGCTCCAACACTTCTCCAAGGCGCAAACCAACAACCTTCCGCCTTGGAAGGGTCCGGTTCGTAAATGTCAATGAAGAAGAGCATGAGCTACGCACCACGGCAACAAAAATGCCGAAAGTTGCTCCACACGAAGTACGTTTCGCAGTATACGTCATGACGGCTCACCAGGTGTGCAACACTCCGATCGTGAGCCAATAAAATGATGATGAAGAAAGGAAAAGGGTGTTGGTTTGCGCCTCGGAGAAGTGTAGGAGCTAGGTGTCAGGTCACCCAATGTCTCAGGACTCCTAGTCCATGTTATGCCATTTTGTCGCACTTGCTGATGGTATAAGATCTGGTTTCGTTGGTGGGCAGTTTGTCAACTTTCAAAATGTTTTTTTTAGGCTAGTCTGATGCCTCAGGCCACAGGCGTGCCTCCCCAATGACAACCTCAACTGGATTTCGCTTGAGGTAGCGGGAATTATAGGATTTTAAACCGCGCAAACACATGATGCTGGAACCTACCAGCGCAATGCACAGCCGGGTTGGAATCCTTCCCATGGTGGCAAACTACTGGTCTTTTCCCTTGTCAGAGATAAAAGCAGCCAAGCTCTTGTACAAAACTGTGCCAGCTTTCCCAGCAACACCACTGGCCGACATGACGACTGAAACGAAGGAGGCCTTCTCGACTTCCCGAATTCTCTCCTCATCTCTTCTCCTCTTCTCGGGTTCATAGCCGGCATACACAGCGGGGATTGAGGCTGGTAGCGAAGTCGAGACAAGTATTGTCCTCTAAGGACGCAGACCGGAGGCTGAACTGCTCACCAGAGATAGGTTGCAGTGGAGGTTCCACGGATACCGAGTGAGCCACCTCGCGAATGAGGTCGGCGGTGACGTCACGGATTTCATTGTGTCTTCGGACGAAAAGTCACGGGTCGGGCAGGATTACGCGTGGGAGACGTCGAAGCAGCCGTTGCCACAAATGCAGGCCGACGGCAAGCGCTCCGGCACCCATCCATAGCGCAAAGACAGAGCATGTCCAATCTCGGAGAGACGAAAGCCATAGCAGGATAGAAGACGTGACGTCGGCCAAGCATAGCTACCACGCTGGGAAGAAAGCTAAAGCTGAGGCACATGTACCGCACCTTCACCGCTCAAAACCCCCTCCTTCAGATGTTGCTGTGATACCCCTCCCTCAGATGTTGCTGTGATACCCCTCCTTCAGATATTGCTGTGATACCCTTTCTTCAGATTTTGCGGTGATATCCTTCCTTCAGATGTTGCTGTGATGCCCGAGCTGCAGTGCGGGCTTGACGTTGGGTGGTCTTCGTAGCGTCGGCCACACAAGCTAGCGAGAGATCTGCCTTACCAATCCTTACTTTGAGCTCATTAGTGGGCATATTAGCGTGATTGGGCGGTGGGAATCGAGAGACCCAAACTGCGATACCGACAAGGAACCTAGAGCACAAGTCGCTCCACACTGGACTGATGGACTCGACTAATAACTCCTGGGATGAGGCGCTCCCCAATAACAGCTTCCAGACCACATAACTCCACAGATTACATCTCCAAGGTCCGGGACAAGAAAGATCACTTGTTTTGTAGACCATGGACATATGTGGAGTAGGTGGCAAAGGGTTGTGTGATGACAAAATCGGATTGCCGCGACACCTGATATGTGTCCTGAAGGCGACATTTGCCTCTACGAAACTGCTGACAAACTATGAAGTGCCCAAAATAGCTCTCAAGTTAAGGCCGGTATTTCTGACGATCTGGAACCCGTGCCAGCAAAGACTGCAACCGCCTCATCGTATGCCCGCTCCTTCACCAGCAGCAAGGATTTGCTGGAAATGGGTCGGTATCCATGGGCTTCTCCTTGCTCGTTCAGCCCATCTCACCAGGTGCGGAGGGTTCGAAGTTTTTCACACCCTGAACGATCATCTGCGTACCACACCTGGATGATGTCGGGTGAGCTGACTGCTTGGACCAAGCGTACGATGCCCAGGGCGTACATCAGCATCGCAACCGTATTACCATGCATAGGTAGCGCTTCACAGGATAACAAGCATTCACCATCCACAAAGAGTTTGGCCGGATGGCGGTATGTGTTGATGTTCGACTCAAATCGTAATGCTTTCTATGGTAATAATAATAATAATGACAGTTCGCATTTCACTCATTGCATGAGGTCAACGCATCTGTTAACAATTTCGAGCCAAGCAGCTCTATCAGAAGCAGATTGCACAGCATCCAGAAGCGACAGATTAATGCATTGTAAGTCTTTCTTGACAACGTCGATCCATCTCAGACGGGGTCGTCCTCGGGGTCGTCGTATGTCTATGGTAGGTGTAAGTTAATTCCCCGAGTATATGGACTAATTAACAAGTTTGCAAACGTTCTGCATTGAGGCACGAATGGCAAGAATGCATGCAGTTACACATGTAGCTGTATGTCGGTATTTTATGTTCCTCAGGTAGAGGTGTGTGCGAATGCGTGCTGCGCAACCAATTGGTAGACATCTTCTAGTATTTCGGATTATGTTTAGATGAGTTCATCGGTGGCGTCAGCAATCACAATTTTTTTGCCATATACAATTTCCATCATCAAGACCCTCAACAGGAAGAGTGGTACTAGTAAAGTGTAAATTAAAGTAATAGAATTTTATAGAAAAGGAAAAGGAACATCAGTGAGAAGGAATTCTACTGCCTGTAATGCTGGTGAAGTAAAATAAAGTAACAACAACAACAAGGAACTACAAGATACGGTTTTGTGTCCACTAACACCACCTGTTACCAAGCAATCAAGTCATGCAATATCATTGCACGACGCTGACCAACTGAATCAACGTTCTACAACTACCAACTAACTGGATAACAACTCTAGCACATCTTGAATGCGGACTCCAACACATGCGTCCAACTCTCCTGTAATATTGATCTTATAAGCACAATTTTTTTTAAATGCTGCGTAATTGGGTCCGTTGTATCAGGAGTCTGGTTTTCATGTACGTGTATAATGAACATCAGTCGGTTTTCAGCACACTCGATTTACAGTGTAGTTTCAGTTCTTGTGCGTTCATTCACTCTGTGCAGCAACATGGAAAGCCTGTGCTCAAACCATCACCAGCACTTGGCAAGTCGATTGGACTTTTCGAAATGACCTCAAAACCTGGAAGGACGCCAACATATCCTGTCGGTCATTTGGCGGATCACTGGCTACTGTCCAGACAATGGCCCAGCTTACATGTGCTAACTGGACAGCAGAAGGATCATCCGCCACGTGGGTGGGCCTGACTGGTACATGGAGTGCCGGAAATTGGAGTGCTTGGAAATGGGAAGCTGCATTGTCGCCCGTCACGGCACAACTTCCATGGGCATCACAATTTCCAAAGATTCAGGATGATTACAGATACGGATACTATCAGCCAGACATTTTCAGATTACGGACTTGGAACAACAACAATACAAATCGGTACCTCTGTCAACGATATGTGACTAAAAGTAGGTGTATGGCTTTGAATGAACGGAAATTGTAGTCACATATTGTTTTTGAACGTATACCGTCTGTTCTGCTGTACATGTTATTTTCGGCCACGAGCCATCAGTACAGTACAGTACATCTGTATTGAGGTTAAAACAGGTGGACCTAAACCATGCAACCCAAAGTGGAATGAATTCTTCATGTAATGAAGTCAGCTCCAGTGGAGCTTGGCAACATTAACCCTTTCCATGCCATGGATGCGTTTTACCGTTTTTTTTAAGTATGACCATGGACGCGGTTACGCGTTCTGCCTAAAGTTTACAGTACATGTGTATCGCAGGTTATAGACGAGTGTACAAACCGTCCTAACTCTTCAGGTTCGTCACGCACGGTTCGAACACTACCACTATGGTCGTATCACGTTTCGTCCAGGATGGTCCACCCAATTCATCCAAAAATTCAAGGATCTTCGGACTTGTACAACACATCGAAAAATAATTTCATCACAAGGAGCATACAGACTTGATGCCTAGGACTAGCAGCTAGCTAGTGCTCAAGACCCCAGGCGGCTATCCATTACGATAGGCGGTTGGAGTCACGGGTAGAGACAACCAGATGATGGATTCCTCACGGACGCATTCACTGCAAACTTGACGGAAACAGAGCTGAGCTGGCGGCGATCACTGGGTCCAGAACTAACATTTTCCAAGATCTACCATGTTACAATGGCGATCAGCACGGTCAAGAGACACTACATGTATGTCACTTGTAAGCTACAACAAGTTACATAATAATTGTTATTACTGGTATATTCTTTCCACGACAACACCTACCTGTATTACCTCTGGCTCCTGACGATCTACTGCAAGCTGATGCAAAAATGCATTACACCCCCGACGGCATAGGCATAGGGAAGCGCTTCATTCTCCGAATTTGAAAAGTGTTTGGAGTCGGAGACTCAACTTTGGACTGCTGCTCCACGGCGGCAGAATATTCTGCAGCTGTTCAACGACACTACCCACTTCGCAAAACGATTTACGATCGGATTGGATTGGATTTTAATTTATAGTGGTGACTATAACAGACAATTGCCTAATAACAATAGACCCGCTCGAGGGAAAGATGCAAAAAGATATGAATACTTAATATAATAGACTACCGGTATTGGATAGGTGATCATGTTCGCATTTTGCATAGCTCAAAGTCATAAGTACTAGCGTGAAAAAGCAAGGCATTGGGGTAACAGTTTCTTAAAACGGGCGGAGTTATCAACACAGTGACCTAGAGGGTGTAAATCATTCCACAGCTTAGCACATTGGACGGAAGCGCAAGGACGGGCAAAGGCAGTTCGGACCATGGGCAACTTAAGAGTGCGTGATACAAGGCTGCGCGTTGCAAGACCATTATTTAAACGCTCGAACATTTGACTTAATGTGACACTACAGCGGCCTTCCAAACAGCGCCATGTCAGATGCAGCATTTTCTTGCAATACATCCATGCCAAACGATCTAGACCAAGTCTCGCAAATAAAGGGCTTGATGGGCTACAAAAACCAGTATCGTACACTGAACGCAAAGCTCGCTTTAGCGTTCGATCGTTTCGTTCTCAGAGTATTCTGGTAGCAGCAACAAGAATTGCGTCCGCGACGACAGGACGAAATTCTCTCGCGAACTAGAGTCTTGTCACTACGTAGACAGAGAAGATTCCGCAAGTCCTTTCACCTGCTTCCAGTGTTTCTAGCTCTCCGGTCCACTGGCAGATCTTTCAATCCCGCCGAACAAAAAAAGGATCTTCTTCTCTCTCTCAAAAACAACTAAAAGTACTTTGTACATAGTGCATGTGACACGGTGCACTTTTGCAGAACATGACAAACGTTTTTGCACGGCGGTTTGCGCTTGAAGGCGCAGCACGCTTGTACTTCAGATTTTTGGATTCTTTCGAGGGCAATCCTTTTTGCCTTTCTTGGCTACATAAGATGTACAGAAAATACCAACAAATCCATAAGAAATATGTTTTTGGAGCTGGAGAGTGAGTGAGGTTGTCTATTAACTGCTAGAGGAGCCCTCCTTTGCGGCTGTAGAGTGCTAAAACGTGCCCTGTTAGCCGAAAAATCCTTATTTTTTTCTCCGGGGACACCCCCCTGACCACCGGTCCTACCACTCGCAGCCGCCCTGTCACGACCCTGCTCTGTCTAAATATCTCAGATTGCTAATGTTGAGACACAGCTGGAAAGGTCTTGCGCTGAGCTTTACAGTGTTACAAAGTGTTACGCGATACGACAAGGTATGACCGAGCGGCGACAAATTTAACGGTCAGAATGCACAAATTTCACCTTTTGACGATCGAGTCCAATTTTTCGTTCGCGACTTCCAGTGGGCTTTGAGATTTCCCCCAGAGACACCGCGTTCGCAGCAAGCTTCAACAAAAGCGCTTGAATCTCAGCTTTCCAACGCAGTTTTGACTATGAGCAAGACGACGGAAGAAAACATGAGAGGCAGTGATTTTGTTCTTTTCAGGCATTGTAGGGGGGCTTGGAGAGGAGATGGAAAGGGGCCTGATATGCCTGTCGCGCTGGGAGTCCCTAAAATCCATCAAATCCATCAAGGTAAAGTGAAATAGGAATACATTTCGTTCTTAGCACCACGTTCAGCTTTAAACAAGTGAGCGCAGCGCCTGAACAATGCGTGGCCAACACAGGAAAACATGCTGGCATGGAAAGGGTGAAGAAGTTTGTACGATCCACATCTATCAAGATAATATCGTAAGTCTTCATACACATTTGCTGAAAATGGAACCAGATGTTTTCTGACAGAAAATTGGTTATTAAACGGTTCCAGAGTTAGGGCCGATTCCCACTACGATAACGTGAATGCCGTGCAGACGATTTGGGTAGGTCACGTGAACCCCACAGAACGAGCTTGAAGCTGAGAGTGATTTACACCTGTGCACAGTCATTTCGTGCATTCCGTCGGCAGGCCGGATCATCAATTTTTGACTTTGGTCCGGAGGGAAAATAGCGGGGGCCGGGGAGATGACTGGAGAAAGCTCAAGAATCAACCAATCGAAAAGCCAAAAGCGAAGAAAAAACTTCGAGCTTCGAAGTACCACAAATACAAAAGATAGAAAAAACTTCCTTTCATGGAGTAGTAAAATACCTACTTGAAGTACTATTCACTGCATTCGACATCGCGGAATACCACAGCATGCCATTTCCCCCCCCCCCCCCCAGAGGCCCTCGGCACTGGAATGTCCACGGCGCGGTACGGCAGGAGCCACGGAATGAACTCGCGCCAAAACTGCCCCTCACGTGAGCAAATCACCATGGGTACTCATGGCACGGCACTCACGGTACGGTAGTGGGAATCGGCCCTTAAAGGTCGTGTACGGTTAAGTTCTGGGATGTTTGGCTGTGGTGAAAACGCCATTTTCTCATAACGTGACGCCTCACTAGCCACGGGCCATTTCAAGGATGCTTCTAGCGCGAAAGCACTGTTTTGCTTGTTGTCGTTGTCGTTGTCGTCGTCGTTGCCGTCGCCGTCGTCGTCGCCGTCGCCATCGTCATCATTGCCGTCATCGTCGTCGTCGCCGTCGTCGTTATCTGTGTCTTTGTTGTTGTCGTTCGTTGTCGTTGTCATTGTCATTGTCGTTGTCGTTGCTGTTGTTGGTGTTGTTACTACTGTAGTTCACTGATACAGTCAGCATACACATACAGACAGCATACACATACAGACAGCATACACATACAGACAGCATACACATACAGACAGCATCCACATAAAGACAGCATACACATACAGACAGCATACACATACAGACAGCATACACATACAGACAGCATACACATACAGACAGCATACACATACAGACAGCATACACATACAGACAGCATACACATACAGACAGCATACACATACAGACAGCATACACATACAGACAGCATACACATACAGACAGCATACACATACAGACAGCATACACATACAGACAGCATACACATACAGACAGCATACACATACAGACAGCATACACATACAGACAGCATACACATACAGTCAGCATACACATACAGACAGCATACACATACAGACAGCATACACATACAGACAGCATACACATACAGACAGCATACACATACAGACAGCATACACATACAGACAGCATACACATACAGACAGCATACACATACAGACAGCATACACATACAGACAGCATACACATACAGACAGCATACACATACAGACAGCATACACATACAGACAGCATACACATACAGACAGCATACACATACATACAGCATACACATACAGACAGCATACACATACAGACAGCATACACATACAGACAGCTTTAAGTACTTCCTAGATAGGAGAGCGAGAACCGTACACCGGCGATTAGAGTCCACTCTCCAATAGTACCCCTGTCTCTCAGATAGCCGGTGGAAACAAAGATAACCCTCTCATGAATAGTGCCCAGCCAATAGCCTGTGAATACTTAGCGTTCTTTGCTAACCATGCACGTAGGAAAGCTTGTTGTTGTTTTTCCAATAGACTTGTCCATGCTATTACACTGGTGGTTTCAGATCAAAATCCCAGTTCTTGTGGCCGTTTCTGATGAGTCGTGAACTTTTACAGCACATGTTAGGCTGCGCTTTCTTTGTTTTCTGCTGGATGACGTAAATGCAGCAGCATTAAAATAACAGTGCCTCTCTTGAATGGTGTCATCTCTTGAATAGTGCCCCATCTATATGCCAGTATGGTGTTTAGCTTGTGGATAATCGAACAAAAGCAATGCTCCATCTTGCCAGTCTCTGACCTCTACTCCCACCACGGACTTGACGACTTTCATTTACCACCGTGGAACGGAGTTCTCACATAAATGAGCCCACTGAAATAATTACACTGCCCTACTGCACTCATTGTAATACGCATACAGTGTACTTGGCAAATTTCACATCAACACAAAAAAAACAATAGTCTTCAAATTATCTGAGTGTTGAAATTTCAGAGTCTATAATTTATTTAAACGACTGTCCGCCAATAAAACGATCTCCAACTTGTGTTGCTCCTTCCTGTGCTCCATGTGTCACTTTAACTTCAAAACCAATAATCTCTGCTGCAATAGATTTGAAAGGCTCAGCTCTGAAAATAGCCGTGGAATGTATACGAGGAATAATTGTTGACTCACACCAGCAAGACTCGCAAACAAACGTCAGTGGAAAGTTGAAATGTCTGATGGTGCCCTCCCTAATAATATGTGAGACTTCAAGTCGGAGCTGGACAACCCCTTTCCTTAGGTGTTCGTGCATGTCTTCCTGAACCATATGCAATTTTGTGTATCAAGTAATCTAACCCATGTGCCTCGAATGTTTCTATGTGCATATGTCCATTGTTTTATCATGGCTGTATCGGAATGCAAACTGTGTTTTGGTGAAGATAACTGGTACGGGTGCTCTGCAAGCAAATCTCTTGGACTCATGGAGATACTTTACAATCCAACGCCTAAGACATATGATGAGGCCACCACCGATTGCGCAGGGAGATTCAGCATTCTGGCCAATATCCAAAGCTTAAATCATGCAGAGTGCGCAAGGTCAGTGCTTGGACCACGAAATGGTCAATGCAGCAGTTCCTCAAGCGATAATTGCAAGAATGCCTCGTTTGGCTGCAAAGCCAATACATGCAATGTGTGGGTTGCTCTACAACGAACCTCTAAAAATTGGACATGGGTGTTACCAGTTCCATCCATACCGAGCACAGTTCCCTGGATAAATTCAACAACAGGAGGTAGTGGAGAAAGAAAATGTGGTTACTATTTACCTGAAAAAGAGGGTTTCGGAGTCGAATCTTGCACAGTGAAGCTAAGTTTCTACTGTCAAAGATATACACCAAATGGTAAGGTATACTACGTAGGACTACACTAGCGAATAGATATCAGTTTACCTTTAGTAACATTGGTTTAAGAAATTCATGCCGACTTTCAAGCAACACTCTGCCTATTCACCGACCTAATATCGTATGCATTCACTGTGTGAAGAAGAAAACAATTCAAAATTATACTATGGGCTTTTGGCAATAAATGAAGTTTCGAAGGGTTAATCCACTTTAGCCAATCCACTATGTAACTCGGCCTGTGACGTTTGCAATGATCGCTACTACCATATCACAGCTACTTCCTCCGCGTCATCGAAATTGTCGCAGTTTGACTTTTGATGTAAAATGCGGTATTTACTCACCAGCACTCGTACCAGAGGCAAGGGATCGGACATAGGCGATAGTCATTAGTATAGGGTGACGGCAAAGTTCTATTTTCTGTTATTGGAAGCTGGAATTTTTGAACTAGACTCAATTTCTTTGCTGATGTCGCTGCGCTGGTAATTTCGACTCGCTGAGATCAGTCAGGTGTTGCAGCCTGCACATTTCTCGTGCTTATGGCCATTCACTCAAGCCCCATCACTGCTTTACCTTAGCTGGGGTGAGAATGACTTCGTGGAACAAGTGGCAGCGCTTGGAGAAACATCGAGGGGTCGGCAAACTAAATGCCTGCAACAGCGATAAAATTTGTCGCTCTGGCTGAGACACTCAGTACTACTACTTGTACATGATTGTACCTGCAAGAGCCGTGTAGACTCTACACGTAGTGCTAGTGATGCACGCGCAGGTGCCGTACCATGGTATACCAGTGCTGAAAAAGAGGGCGCGCTGGACGTGATACTACACTTACCTGCATGAGCTGTACATGTGGGCATGCCACGGCTAAAAAAAGTTCATTATTTTCAAGATCGAGGTGATTCCGAGGTGATTCCGCCGACGGTAATCAACCGACCTCGCAACGATCGTGTATTCTTACTAGGCTTCGTTGGTGGTGAAGTAGAAATCATCCAGAGCTAGCAGACGACAAGCATAGCAGCTCTTGTCCTGTGGAGAAAGTCAAAGCGTTTGAGATGAGGCGCGACCAACTTTCAACCTTCCTTGAAATATTTGGGAACGATATTTTTGCGTCCATTGACATCAGCGACGACGAGGACTTCATCTCTGCATGAAAACTCTCAGTCCAATTGTCCTAAAACGTTACTCTAGTCTTCAGACTATCATACTGTGTAATAAGTTTCGAATGGCTTAGTTTATGAAGTTGTCAGTAACAAGTGACAAGTCACTAGTCAAACTGCGACAATTTCGATGACGCGGAGGAAGTATAGTGCTCACCAAGTATTAAATACTTGGTGATAAATTTTTATTCTTTATACCTGGTACGAAGATGAAAGGAGATTTGCAGCACCAAAATGACTTAAACACAGTTCAGATAGGTAAACAAAATATGTATAAACAGAATGAGATGAAGCGACATGTTACGTATGTAAAATGGTGATGGACAAAAAATCAAAGTATTATTATGTCCTCTCTCGTTATGTTTGACAGGGAAACTCTCGCGAGTTTGTACTCTTAATTCATCTTTGTCTTTAAGAGAGCATGTCTGAGAATACCAAAGTATGTGTGCAAGTGGATCTCTCCGATTTCTCTTGCAGTAAAATCCAAAAACTACACGCAAAAATTCAGTCACTTTAGCATCAACTGTTGTACCGAAAAATGTTGATGGCGCAAGGAGAAGTTTGTCGTTTGGAGTGACAAGTGATCACCGCTGCTTTTCCTTGTCAGAGTCAACAATACACTTTGTTCTGCAGCGTTGGGAGTGGTGTTGGAGTAGAAATTGCTGACCAGACATCGCGGAGGGGCGAGCTTTCCTGCGCAGGTATGAGTTTGGACGTATTTCAGAATGGTCGAGTGGAAACATTCAAAACTGTTTATTTCAAGAAAACCCAAAAAGGATGATGGGGGACATGTCATCAGTGCTAGAAGAGGTGTTCTACTATCTGCCGGTGTATAGTGTTTCCTAATTGAGGACGTAGCTCGCTGTTTTATTAGAGCTTGTAATCTGACTATTTTCAAGACGATCATTTGTGGCGTCAAGGGATGATTTCCCTCGTCTTCTGGGATGCTGGCGTTGCGAAGTGGTGCTGCCCCAAGAACTCTTCTAAGGTGAGGTAATGTTGGCTTGATGGAGTTTTGTTCGTAGCTTGTTCTTGTACGCTTGTAGACCCATAAATCGTGCCAATATTGGGCAATTATTGAGGGGTATGCCAATTTCTTGGTTCCCTTCAAAAGATTTTGCGCGGGCTTTGGAATGTCGATCTACACCCAAAAGCAAACCTACCTGCAACATTTGAGCGAAATCTGAGAGATCGACTTGCACATATTTTCTGGTTTTCTCAGACATGCTCTCTTAATTATTGTGATACTTATATCATAATTTATACTGAGCTTGTATACAAACTCCCATCTCTCCCCACACAACACTCCAGACTTGTATTATAACAGGTACTTCGATGACGAGAATATAAACTGGTATATAAACTGGTTTATCGCCTTCTTAGTATTTGACCCCACTAATTTCCCTGATATCTAAGCGGTCAAATATATCGCGTATTTGACTGCTTAGTCAAATACGCGATATATTTGACTACTTATATTTGACTCCTTAGAACTTCTTGGACTTAGAAATTTTCTCTCCAACTTAGAAAAAGAAAATTTTGAAGAAAGCAGAAATACACAAGATGGGATTAGAACCCACAACCTTGTGAATCTCAGTCACTCTTCCTTACCACCCAGCCACTGTGCTACCGATGCTGAACCTAGTTTAAACAATGATCTTGACTTTCAATGCAGTACAATGCGGTATAGGCTATAGTATAATACTAGAATTACAAGGATATGTCGTATATGTCTATATGAAGAGAAACTATTGCGTGGAGAACACGATAAATAGATTATAGACCTCATAGTTGGTCTATACAGGATATATAGACCTCGTAAAAGACCTCGGGGGACCTCGGTCTTTTACTCGGTCTATATATCCTGTATAGACCTCCTAACCGGTCTATAATCTATACATATAAACTGGTGCATAAACTGGTGTATAAACTCCTTTTTTTTTAAGGATCACACTAGTGACGATCATGACCCGCAGTCCGCCTTGATGGTTTTTCGACATGCACGACGGTCCCAACTTCAGGATCTCTTTCCTGTCAACGATGAAGAATACAACGTCGTCTTTTTTGATGGAGGCTTACATTTCGCCTCCACGAAGACAAAGCGCAACATCAGATAGAACTATTTGTAATAGGTAAGTTTTACTGCGTCGTTGCCATTGGTGTCGTCGATGTCGCTGAAATAATCGTGTAACAGGTGCCTTGTGCTGCACCTGACGTTCGAGGCTGTCCTTCTTTCGCTGTTTCAGCACTCCGTTTGTCAAGGGCAGCACTCGACATGTGCGGCTGAAGAGACACGCGTGCCGCTACTTTGAGACAATTCTTGGAGAAAGGCGAGCCCTCCTGCGTTTTTGCATCGACATAGAATGCAGATAGCAGGGGCGACGGAACTTCACTACAGACGGTTTTCCAATCAATGTTCTCCTTTCCGCGTCCCTCGCAGAGCGGACGGAACATGCGCAGCCATAATCCGTGGCACTGCCATTGTTCTTGGAAACTGCTGCTTGAATAATGGCATCGTGATTCGTGGTCGTCCTCAGAAGAACCAAAGAAACGTTTGGGAGTCGATTCAACAGGGTCGTGCTGATTCATTTACTCTTACTTTGGAAAGGAGACGAACTCTATGTCTCTAATGAGCAAACGGTTCTTTTACAGAGCCCGTGGTGAGATCTGCGCGCGGTAACGGTCACTAGCACTGTGAGGTTCAAACTAACTACTTACTTGGCGCATAGCTGTTACTTCCGGTGTAACTAGTACTAAACTGAAGTCACAAAGAGTGTGTGATGGTACTGCACTGCACTGCATGCACTACACAGAGTCAGTGGTAGTCTTGTATGTACTTGCTCCGCAAAGGTTGGTGAAAGGAAGACTCGTCGAGCCATGGTTGTGGGTTGGAATTCCAATCTCTACTTTTGTGGGGGAGAGGGGAGTTTGTATATCAGCTCAGTATAAGCATAATATAACCTACTCAGTTGATTAAAAAAAATATATATATAAATTTCACGGTTCGCGTGAGACTCGGCTGGAAGCCGAGTTTTCCGCATCCGCCGTGGGAACGCCACCACCCTCTAGGATCAAAGGCGCAGATGCAGCGCCTAAACGGTGGGAGGTGAGTAGATCAGACCCACCACCAAGTGGTCAAAGACCGAAATCCCATTAGCTGCATCCATGTTACCCTCGTGCCAGGCCACGAGTTCCCAATTAATATAAACCAATATACAAACCTCGGCTTCGCTTCGATTTGTATACAGGTTTATATTTCCCATATAATCAACTGGTTAGGTTATATTATATAAATATACAATGTAGCTCATGGATATTGAAGATATGTCATTTATGAATATATTACAGGGAACCTCACTTCAAACCCTCCAACTACGGTCTCTTCGCTGCATAGGTTCACTTCACTTCCAAAATATATAAATAATATTACAAATGGAATGCACATTTATGAATATGTGTATAATTATGAATATTGCAGCCTGAGTGATAATGATAGTGCTATTTCCTGAGTTTGACTGTGTCAGGATATGTCGGAATATCACAATGCACAGACCCTCATGCATAGATATCGCCATGCTGGTCTGTCATGGGCAATGGCTTCCAGGCTCCCAGGCAAAAATATAGAAGTTCAATAAAAAAATTCCTTTTACATTGTCAGTTCAAACGGTCCACACTATGTTTTTTCCCATGTAGAACCCTCCAACATAGCTGTCGACTCCACCGAAACTGAGATCTTCGCACGTTTAGTGCAGCCACAGATACTTCGGGAATGGATATCTCGATTCTGCTTTGTGTACGCGGACAAAAGGACAGCGGCTGTCACAACTTCGGTTTGTGGCACAAGTGAGTCTACCGTTCTGTCAAACCTGAGTGCCAGCACGACGTACCGAGTCCATGCATTCTACACCACTACGACTGGAATAAACAGCAGCACCTCCCCAGATGTCTACATTGCAACATTGCCTAAAGGTAATACAGTAGATACATTAATGGCAAACACAAGGACTAAGGAACTAAAAGTTACGTTATACTGTCCACTAACGCCACCAGTTACCTTTATGTAAAACAATCTGCTATAGAAAATGTTGAGTCACCTCCACCATTACACTGCGCTCTTTAGCCGACTAGACCCTCCTGCACACAACCATCACCATTGCGACTACACTTCCGTAGACGATATTGATAAACTCCTTCAGACAGCTGTTTCGCTAATACATAGCTCAGCAGTGAAGGTGGATGTTAAATGAACAGCTGTCTGAAGGAGTTTATCAATATCGTCTACGGAAGTGTCCTCGCAATGGTGATGGTTGTGTGCAGGAGGGTCTAATCGGCTAAAGAGCGCAGTGTAATTGTGGAGGTGACTCAACATTTTCTTCAATGGCCGAGAGCTCTGTCGCACCCTGTAATAATCTGCTATAGAATAGCAATTAAAAATATCAATTGTACACTCATAACAATGTAGAAACCAATTAAAATGAAACAATTCCAGAACGCTTTCTCGTGACTATCATCAGCGGTACATCCATCACATAGTAAGAATCACTAAAACAACCAGTTATATAGCTAGAGTAAAATGAAAAGAAGCGTGAGAATGCAGCAGCAGCCCGCGGTTATGCATAACGCGTATAGATTTTTTTTTTTTTTTTTTACAAACACCATTTAATGCCAAAAATGAGATGCAGCTAGGGGAAGCACGCACAACCTGAATCGTGGCAGTGGTGGTGAGGTTTAGGGAGCTCCGCCGACCTAGGGTCTCGACTTCATAGCCACCTAGACGCACCAAGAGTGGGTGGGGAGGGAGAGCGAGAGAGAGAGAGAGAGAGAGAGAGAGAGAGAGAGGTTGCGAAATTATATAAGTAAAATAAAAGGAACATTGAAAATATGAGATGATTGGTGAGGTTGTTGTTGTTTGTTTGATTCGCTTTATTTAAAGTTGAGTTCCAAAACAGGCCTAAACCTAATGACAATGGTCCCACTGATAATAAGAGAAAAGAAAATATAATAATAAGCGGACAAACAGAACCAAGAAGAAGATACAGCTGTAGTTAGATAACTAATATGAGCACGGCAGCAGGGGAAAAAAGTCACAAGCACGGCAACCGGGAATAAAGGAGTGAGTGAGTGAGAGAGAGAGAGAGAGAGAGAGAGAGAGAGAGAGAGAGAGAGAGAGAGAGAGAGAGAGAGAGAGAGAGAGAGAGAGAGAGAGAGAGAGAGAGAGAGAGAGAGAGAGAGAGGGAGAGAGAGAGAGGTAGTGAAGCAGATGAGTTCATCCTAGTTGACGGTACTGCCTAACAGAAAGGCCAGGCTTAGCGATTTCAAAGTGGCGCGCTTTCTTTCGAGGCGTGCTGTGTCTGGGAGCTGGTTCCACAGGGTAGCTCCAGCATGGCTAATGCGCTTAGCTGAGGATGCAGTGGGGAGACAGGAATGATGAGTAACTTGCTGCTCCCTCCTCGTGTTCGGAGAGAGGGACTACGGGTGAAAAAGCTTGCAAACAGAGTACTTGAAGATTTGTTCAGGCAGCGCCAAATGAATACAAGAATGTGCATGTGGGTGTATATGCTGAGGGTATGGGCATTCATGCGTTCAAGTAAGGGAGCCGTGTGAGTGCGAGGGGCTGCCCTGCACACCGAGCGAGCCGCACGTTTGAACAAACTATTTAGGCGCTTATCCTGATAAGACGATAAGAAAGGGGCATAGGCAGCAGATGCATAGTCAAATTCTGATAGTATGAAGGACCTGAAAAACTGAACACGGCAAGAAAAAGGCAAACATGCTGCACTTCGATTTAGTAGCCCAATCTTAGCGGCAACGCGGCGTGCAACATGGCTTGTCATGGTGTTCCAGCTCATGTCTGAGTCGAAATGTAGGCCAAGATACTTGGCCGTTTTCACAACAGGCAGCGTCTGCCCATTACAAATGACATGCAGCTCAAGTGCTTGAGATGGGGATGGGGGAATAGGCAATATCTTTGTCTTTCTTTCATTAAGAATTAAACCACGGCCCTTCAGCCAGGTGGCCAGGTGCTGAACAGCAGCTGAAAGGTGTGCAGAAACAGCTTCCGCAGACTCCCTGCTACATCGTATAGAGATGTCATCAGCAAACTGGATTGCTCCCACATTAAACGGCGATAGTTCTTCTGCTATGCCGCGGGCATAGACAATAAATAGCAGTGGGCCCAGTACCGACCCCTGGCGGACACCTGAGTAACTGGTGTACGGGAGACTTCTAGTCTGGCCAACCTGAACGTACTGTTCTCTATCAGAGAGGTAATCTACCAGCCAACAGAGTGCCGTGTCGCAGATGCCAAGTTCGAACAGATCTTGCACAAGAGTTTGATGTTTCACTTTATCGAATGCCTTTGACATATCAACAAAGGCTACACCTGTGTTGAGTCTGTTCATGCGGGCCTCACAGATACCTTCCACAGCTAGCACTGGTGCGTCGGATGAAGAGTGGTGGGATCTGTAGCCGAATTGAGTTGGCGGGAATAAATTGCTCTGGACTAGATATCGTGTGAGTTGCTCGTGGACTATCCTTTCCAACACTTTGGATGCAATCGATAACAAGGACACTGGTCGATGATTCTTTGGCATGCTCGGATCTCCGCCTTTGAAGAGTGGCGATATCCTAGCACTTTTCATCTGGGCAGGAAATATGCCCTCTCTCAGGGACTTGTTAAAGATCAAAGTCAGGGATGGCGCCAGTACGTCTGCATGTGCGCGGAGAAGGGCTGCAGAAATGTCATCATCACCGCTGGACTTGGCCGGATTTAAACGTTCGAGGAGCTTCGTCCCTCTGGCAATAGACACTGGCGCAAAGGCTGTCAGATCAGTGCTTGAGGCGGGCCCGTAGGGAAATGAGAGATGCACTGGGCGGCTGGCGTCCTCTACTATCTCTGCAAAGGTGTTTCGGATGGCATCAACAGAACATTGAGGTGGCTGAGATTGTCGATGTTTACCACTCAATTCTTTGATCGTGTGCCATGTCTGTTTGGTATTGCCAGACGCGGCTCGAAACTTGGATTGGTAGTAGGTCTCTTTCTGTTGCCTATTATAGCTGGTAGCTTCCCGCCTGGCAGCCTTGAAAGCTGAGTGGGAATGTTCTGTTCCATCACTAAGCCACCTCCTATGGAGCCGGTTGCGCTTGGTCAAGAGGTGTAATAACTGGCGGTTCATCCATGGTACTGATTTTTTCTTGCGTCGAGGGCTTGGTGCAAGAGGAGCATGTCTGTCTAACACTTGTAGAAAGCGGCTGGCCCACTCAGTCCACATGACAGTTGGGCTTCCGTCAATTTCACAAAAATCCTGTTCGACCAAATCTGCCTTGAACTGGTCATGATTTATGTTTCGGTAGTGTCGCCGTAGCCCAGAAGTTACAGTACTTCTTACTGGGCTGAGTTGAAATTCACTGAGAACTGCTGCATGGTCGCTGAACGCGATGGGGATAACAGTAGCCATATTTAGAGGGTCGAATGTATTGTAAAATTGATCCAGTGTGGTTGGTGCAGAGTTTGCTGAGAACCGAGTCGGCTGGTGAACTCCGGGATATAAACTGTAGCTGGCCACGAGGTCAGATAGTGAAGCTGTGGATCTGGAGGTGCTGTTGGATTGGTGTTTATGTTGATGTCGCCACAAATAATCACGTTCTTCCCGGGCATTATAGCTGAATGGAGATGGTCGTCCAGGCAGTCCCAGTATCGAACTGGCTCAGATGGAGGTCGATAAATGGTTCCTATCAAACAAGTTCCAGATTGGCAATGGATTTCTCCCCAGCAGCCCTCAATTGCCGATTCTGTGAGGTCCATTCTTGGCTTGACCAGGAGGGATGCCTTGGAGTACAGGCAGACTCCTCCACCGGCCTGATCTTTTCTGTCTGATCGTAGTATGTTGAAGCCATCCAAAGCTATCTCTCCATCAGACATGGTGTCGTCTACCCAGGTCTCGTTTACACAGATGATGTCAGGACTGTGAAGGTCGGCAAGCCATGCCAGCTCTCCAACTTTGTTCCTCAGGCTCCTAATGTTCAGCAGTAAAATTCGAATTGTTGGAGTTTGCGTTTGCATATTCAGTTCATGAGCAGCAGGGTCGTTGCCTAATCTTCTTCCAGTCATTGCACAGATATATTATCCACATCCTGACTTAGAGATGCAAATGCGTTGCCAACAGTGACACTAAACTTCGCAGCTTGCGTCTCGGGCGGCGAGTCACGCTGATAGCCCCGTGATTTCTGGCCTGGAGTCCGGGCCGGTGCTCCACAGGTGTCATCTAGGATATTGCAATCCACGCCGTATCCGCTCTTACTGTCGTCCGTGCGGCTGCTGCTGCTGTTGGTGGTCGTGGTGCTGCTCTGCGCTGTTTGTTGATCTCCACTGGCATCAGACTGGGTGTACTTATCGAAGTTCCACTCTCTTGTGTACACAGGCCTTGGCCAGAAGCGCTTGTTGCTGAGAAACGATTCGTCCGCTGCAGTGGCAACAATACGCGCAGTGGAGGATTTTTCTTTTTGAAATATTTTTACGTCAAACACTTGGACATTGTGGTCAGCCTCAGCTGCTTTTGCTGCGATGAACTCCTTCAGCTGGTCTGCAGTAATTGCATGCATCCGATTTCCGACAAACAGGACTCTCTTCTTCGCTGTGGGTTTGGTGGAGGTGATGAGTCGCCATGTGGCGTCCGAATCCTCACTCATCTCTTCAAATTTCGGCAAGCGATCCACACGTGGCGGGGTCACCTCCGAGCTGGGTCTGGGTGTACCATGTGTACGGGAGTTGGACGGCTTGTTGTTTGAGCTGTCAACGTCGGATCTGACACTGCTAGTCAGGTCCATCTCGGGATCAATGGGTCGTGAACTCTCTACGGGCACGCCGGACTGTGAACGACTTTCTGTGCCTGTACTACGTTTCTTTCGATTTCGGCGCTGCCTCTGGCTGGTTGTTTCTTGCTCTCTCTCTTGGTCTGCAATGGCGGAGG